CGCTTTAGAACTAGGTCACCGCGCCGACGTCGCGGGCGTTTTTGCTGTTCAAACATGGCAATTGCAGTTTTGGCCGCCTTCTAGACGATCGATGCCAACACCTTTTTTTCCGTCTGTGTAGTTGCCATTTCTGCATTTTGTTTTTGCTTACAATTAGTCTAGCAAATTGCCACGTTTCAACTTGTAAGGATAGGCAAGCGGACCGCTGCGGGGACATATTTCGCTTGCGCGGCGACCTCAGGGGGACTCTTGCCGCAAATTATGGGATCGCCGCTCGACTTCACCTTATCATGGGAATCCTGCTCTATATGAGCAATTTCCACAATTACATAATTGTGGGTTGCGGCGCGGGAAAAGGCAGCATCAGTGGCGAGACAGTGTCAGAAATGAAAGACAAAGTTTAATATGGTTGCTAGGGAGTATCAAACAGAGATTGTTGATTGAATTTTTTTGGGTAAGGTAATCATGATGAGGGATTGGAGCGATCGATTGTGAAAGGTACCATCTCGCAATTGCTGAGGGTGAATGACGGAGGTGGGAGAGTAAAAGTGTAGATATTACATAAAGGCCGTCCTATCGGCCGGTGGTATGATACGGGTGTATATCCAGCTGATAAATAAGTTCTGTTGAGTTCCGCGCAGGATACGTTGGCGAATTCGGCGACCTACGTGTGTCACTCGTTAAGGAATCGGTGCAATGATAATAAATTGCCTCAATTTTGTCATACCCATATGTGCGCACGCCTGTGTTTTCTGTGGTGCCAAAGACATAATTTGTGCAATATTGTAGTGGCCCGTTTAGAATGCCTTCGATTAGTTCGACCTGTCGAGTGTCGACAAAAATTGTTTTCTGGATTGAGCGCGATTCATACCTCTACATAGCAAAGACTTATTTTCACTGCAGTTTTCAATCATTGGAGGGAGCTTTGCACCTGAGATTCAATTTGCCTCAATGTAATCTTGTAATTCAATGAGTAACTTTCAAACCAGGTTTCAGTCATAGGGAGTTAGATGAGGGGTCCCTTCGATGAGGAGAAATCGTAGCTGGCCCAAAAACCTTGACAATAATTGAAGAATATAACTACCAAGTAATTGCTGCAGCAGATCGAATGCGGGGCGTATTCTAGAAGAAATTTTATCGGTTTTGTGAGGAGCCGAAAGCTGAAGTGAAGAGAAGATGGATTAGCCCACGGAGATATACATTTACGGTGACGTACCAAAAGTAGTGGACACTAATCGATTCTCAAGGTGGTCAGTAAGGCTGTGATTCATGAAACCTTCATTTCATTCAATTTCTGAGTGGTCGATACTTTTACAATGATATTTTCGGCATTTTCGTTCTAACTTAGCCGAAACTATTATTTTTTTTCTGGAAAGTTTTTTTTAGTATCAAATTATGTTTGTACTTTTTGAAAAAACGAACAATATTTCGAAATCACGAATCGGTAGACAAAGTTATTTAGTAAGTTTGAGCCATTACTGTTGTGGCATGCTATGAACGGGCCTGGATACATGTCTTGCAGATTCGTTCCCAACTTTAGCAAATTTCACCGAACATGTTAGGTACTTGTGATATTACTCTTATGTTCATGACGTAGAGGACGCCGACCCGATCTACTTTTTAATAAGGAGGAGGTCTGAGGGATTACGCTAAGCCGACTTGCATCAAAGCGTTGCTTTAGCTGTTTCAAAGGCAAAGGTGTAAGGGCTCCCTGCAAAACAAATGATTTGACGACGATGACTTTTTTGAAAAAGCTTGTTGCCGGGGACTCAAGCACCTTCATTATCAATTCCTAGTCGTACTACCTGATAAGTTGGCAAGGAACTCAATTCTCCTCCTTTTGGAACACCTCAGTTCTTTGAATGACATCTTCTAATTGTCTTTTCGAGCACATTCTCCGGGTCCGACCAAAGCTATTCTACAAAAACATTTCAGGACACCACAACCAGAAAATAGTAAGGATAGCATCTTTCTGACCAGTCGAGTTGAATGCTGTTGAAGAGAAATTTCCACAGATAAAGTTTCAATATACAATATATTATCTTTCCATGAAATGCGACTGTATGTGTGGGTCAAGATTAAATGTTGATGATCTTTAAAAGAGGTAAAAATTCCAACCTTGCCAAACCATGAACCGAATTCCATATACGAAAGCCTTTCTTCATTATCATATCCCGAGTCGTTGAACTAAGTTAGACATTGAACGAGATCCCGTTGGTATTTTTCAAGATCAAGGGAAGATATTAAAATGGATAAAGATTGAGTAAGTACAAAGACAATTATTTCCCCGACGAAAATTAAAAAGGCATAATTCTATCTACCTGTTCAAATTTGAACAAGTAGCGATTGAGAGAACAAACCATCTCCAAGGTCGAGAGCTTCTAGTCAGGATGTCGGATTCCTCAAACCTACGGGGACGCATGGACTGGGTTGAGTTCTTATTTCGACCAGGAAGGTTCAGAAGCATGGGGATCCCAAATTCTGGTGCTCGGTTCTTCTTCAGAAAAAACGGTTGCCGTGAAAAGAAGGAGGATAGACCAAAGAAAAATAAAAAGTAACGAAAGGAGAAGTAAAAACTAGGTTTAGGAAAATTGATGTCAAAAACTTGATTGCTCAGCAGTGTCCAATAATTTGATACAAAGAAAAAAAATTTTCCATGAAATAGTGCCGCTAAGTTATGAACGAAGATCTTTTGCCGAGAATGTCATTGATAGGTTATCGACAACTAGGAGTTGAATGCAGTGAAGGTTTATACACAAAAAGCTTTAGCTGACTCCTGAGAATCGTTCTTAGGGTGCTCCAATAATTTTGTACGAACTGTATGAGGCATCTCAGGAAAGACGGCCTGCTATGGTGCGACGTGCCGGTGGCTCAGCGCGGAACCTGGTCCCTTGCCTTTTATTCCCTTGTTCGTTACTTGTCGCGCGTTACGGGGACAGTTGTGGAAATGGGCGGTTACGTATATAGGAGATTACCATTAGCTGTTTAAGGAGAGCTTATAGTGGAATAGCGGCATTTACTTGTGGGTTTAATCTCCTGGTGAACGCACTTGCAAGTTTTTATCGAACGTTCTGCGTATTCAGGGGAGCTGGGTACAGAATTTGTAAATGAGGCTTAAAATATGTGGCAAGAGCATTGGGAGGCTTGGTGACTTGCATGTGCACACACGGGTATGCTGAACACGATATGCGCTGCAAAGCGCACTGTCTGCGTCCCTCGTTCTACACTTCTCGTCTATTCTTTCTTGCTCTTCTTTGGGAGCTTTCTGCGCTAATCGAGAAAAATAGGCTTTTTTTGTTGGTGTTTTGTTCACTTTTTGAATTAATTAGCATCCCTATTTTATAATTCGAGCTTTTATTTGGCTCCTGCTTTCGCGGAAGCGCCTCCAGTAGAGGAAATGCCAAATGGAATTGATATGCGGTGAGGGCAGTGTATTTTCGCCGTTTTTGGAAAGAAATTGTAGAAGCAGCGCAAGTTGTAAACTTCTATGGGAGCACTGTCATGCCTGCATCTGCAATAAGAATTATCGGACTCAGAGAACGTCTAGATTTCGTCATGGGAACAGAAGGTAACAATTTAATTAAGAGTCCTTTCTGAACTCTAGGGGCTTAATTTGCCGACTGCATCGTGAGTGCTTCAACAGCGCCTTTCGATAAACCTCATCGTCACTCAGTTCTTTAACAGGATCTTGAATTTGATCTTCTCTAGCCCATGAATTTTTTCTGGCGACACAGCGTTATTTTATTTTTACTCTCGATAAGACAACTGATTAATGAATAGATTCCGTATACGTCGAGTCCCACGCGCTCCTACGCCACTGGGTCGACTGCCATAGCTTCGACTGCTACGTTTGTAGAGGATGGGCGATTCCGGCCGAACTAGAATCGCCGAGTGAGTTTTACATTCCTTTGACCATCCTGTATAACAGGAACACGAAGAATTATGGTCCAAATGAAATCATTTCGCTGAGGGATTTGTCCCCATCGAATGTGAATCGATGTAGACGAGTATATTAGTATAAAAATTGTAACGAGTTTTTTACTCTTTTAAACATATTTTGGCGTGTGGTTTGTAAGCTGTGGAGATCCCTCAACTACTATCGAGTGGGCACCAACACCAGGCTGCAAGCGCGTTGCCACGAAACCAGGCTTGGTGAACCGATGCGTGAAATCTCAGGCTGGTGCCAGAATCCGCGATCCGTCGCGCGAATCGCGCGAAACCTGCGACGGATTGCGGACTCAGATCAGCCTACCCTACCCACTGCTCACCCACTCTTGAGTGGATTATAGACAAAAATTATGTAACGGTCTAAAGAATGGTTCCTTTTTGAGAAGTGCCCAACACCTTTGAAGAAGTCGTTTTCTATTGTAGAAATACTCGCTTCGTTACAGGTTACGAATTCCTCCTGAAAACTCTGGGCTACTACTACGAACATGAGCCTTTGCGAACTAATACAAGCTTGCTGTTCTTAACCAGACTTAGGCGACAATCTAAGGCTCCGAATTCAGCTGTAAGTATTAAATTCGAGAGAGCGTGCAATTAAAAAAAATATTCCTCTGAAACTTACAGCAGAGTGTCCGATCGATTTATTAGAAGTCTGTGAGGTTGTGGTTGGCCATTCCAATCCATCCATGGTCAACAATCTGTTGGTCGTAGCTCGAAAGGGTGGTTTTTGTTGCTCTTGAAAGGGGGTTCGGGTCTGATGTAGATAGCATTCTGCTCTTATTGACAAAGAATTTTTGGCGGGGGAGTTTTTCGGTACTTCTGAAGGTATTTAGAAATTTTTGTAATTCTTTTTGTCTCAATAGTTCCAATTAGGCTTTTGTCAGAGTCCGCGATCCGTCGCGCGAATAGCAAAAATTGCAAGTTCCCCATTTGGACATTTGAAACAGTGGATATAGAACAAGTAGGATCATGAGCAGTCGTCATTTAACCATCTCCAATGTAGTGCGGCGGGATCGGAGAGCACCTCGCAGTATTGCACAGGAACGAGTGATTTCTGTGACCATCGCGCGAATCGCGACGGATCGCTTTTTTGGGAATGAAGGGTGGGCTGATCTCTAGTATTTCCACAACAAACTGACCGTAACGCGACCACAGTCGCTAGGGAAATTCGCGACAAAACCACCATGTCTGCCCCTAAACCAGGTGAATTCAGGGATGGACCTCCCGTTCGCAGTGTTGTTCGATTCATACCAGCTGTCTCCACCAGGCACATCCATCATGCTGCGTGTGGGTGCGCTCTGTGGTGTCGTGTACTCTTGCATGTTGGCACGCCAAAAGCCTTGCATTCAGTGACTGTGCATACATGAGGCGATCGGGCCGCCTCAAGAATAAGTCCCTTGTCCGCTCAGATACGTGGCCTTAACTACCTGAGTCTCATCCTAGCCGCCGACTAGAACTGCCCATCTACTCGGTGTGCCTATCAATAGAACTAAAACAGCAATATGGATGGGCTCATTCCCTGTAATCTCGAGGGAGCATTCTCAATACGCAGCGTTGGTACGACGTCTCGGAAGGCGCAGACATCTCAAGGCCCGATAAGCTCTAAACGAAAAGGACTAAATGGGCGATCTGTAACTTATCCACGAACCTTGGCATCGATAGCTCACATCGAAGATCTAATGATCAGCCAGAAGACAAACGTCGACGTCATCGACTGACCGAGACGAAAGCAATCGCCGTTACACGCGTTTGATACTGAGAAAACGTCTCTTGGAAATCGCCAGCAGAGGCGTTGGTGTGTGGTGTCACGTACAACAACGCCACTTGCCATAAACATCGATTCGTACGAACCATTCCAAACCCGAATAGACGATTAGATTGAGAAATGTGAACAACTCCCTGCTATTGACATTCTTCGTCGCCTAAGACCAACATCCAGTCTACGACGCAAAAGAAACACGAACATTCCGTATATGAATGGAGAAGTTCTACAGGGAACATCAACGCTCTCAGGTCTCGTCGGCGACTTCAACCTAAGATTGCTCCAAGAAAGAACGTGCTGATAGAACTTCACATCGGTCCTCACGGAATGAAGGAATACAGGTGAGAGACTGTCGGAGTTTATCATTCGACACACACCATCATGGTACCTCACAGTTCCAACACCCCTCAACCTCGGTGGACTTGGGCTCACCTTGATGGACAGTTCATAAACGAAATAGTACCACGTCATCTCAATCGAAGGTTGCCTGACCACGTCGCTGTGTTCCGAAGTTCACACGGACAACCATCGTCTCTCCGCGCAAGTTCCACTTTCGATCGTGTGAGAGACCTCGAAGTTCAGAAGCGAAGCCCCAGGAACAGTCATCAACTGAGATATTCGCTCCATCGTTCAGCTTATGAGGATTCCGTTCATCGAAACATCGACGAGGAATACTATCGGCTCGTTAACCATCTCACGATGAGGCAAAACGTCAGAGATGAATAAGTCAACCCAGGAACGTCTGTCCTCCGGAAACTCTCGAACTGATACGCCACGGGAGCCCTACGAGCTGCAGCATCACCGATCACGTCCGAGCTTGCGAACTATGCAGAGAGGCGATAAAGAAAGATCTCAAGATGCGAAGAGCAGCAGTATTAGCTAAGCAGCAGAGCCGGAGGACATCCGCCAATGCCCGCCGAAGCTTTGCTCAGCTACACAGACCAATGAGACCCCTCCGACTTCCGGAGAACTTCACTGCATCTCCGAAGGCAATGAGAAATCATCCACGACTTCTATCGGATCTCTTCGGGCTAGCCATGCCATCTGCCCACTATCACTGCAACAGGATGGATATCCTCATGCCCCTCAGTCTCTTCTCGAAGTCCGGCACGCCATCAATCGGTGACGACCCGTACAGCACCGGTCCTACGACAGGTCACACCGGAACATTGAAAAATGCGCCGCCCATTCATCATCAAAACCGCTCGACTCTCACGCGCTCCTGTCGACGCAAGGTCCTCAACCTCGTGAAATCACAGACAGTTTGCGTACATAAAGGAGCCTAGACGACATTGTGCAACCCTTTTTATCCGCCCAATTCTGCCTGCTTCTGTAACTTACAAAGCATTCACTCGACTCATCCTTAACAGGATCGTCAGAATATAAATAAGACAGCCATGCAGCAAGCAGGTTCGAGAGGTCAGCACAGATCGACATATCTCACGGTTACAAGGACCATAAAAGTTTCAGCGCAGTAAACAAATCCGGGCTTCGTCTCACCGTTCATCGACTGAAAAGGCCTTCCGACTCTGTGAAGACAGAAGCGTCAATCGAATCCTGGTAACAAAGGATCTAACCATACACTAAGATTCTTCGGAGCTCTACACAAACTTCACGACTAGAATCTCGCCATTTTCTACAAGGAGCATCATCGCCGTCACAAGAGGGTTCGACAAGGGCGACACATCTCGCCAAAACTTTCAGCGCCGCTCTCGATGAACGTCATGCTCACTGGAATGTGAAACATGGATGAAGGCGAAAGCGGCATTACACCACTCGTTTTGCTGAACGACATCGTTCTATAACGCGAAACATCGAGACAATGCGACGAATGCTGGCGATTCGCCTGGCCTGCGTAAGTCGTCTGGCACTAACTAACGAAGACATTTAGCGAAACGGATTGGTTTCTGATAGCTCCATTCCACGCTCAACGGAACCAACATCACCGAATGCCAGCCATCTACTTTACTCTAGTCCGGGAATCAAATGAAACGATCTACCCAGACTGAGCACGAGGTCACGACGCTTGGGCGAGCGTACCAGAACATCGAGGAGTATGAAAAGACGAACGAACACCGCTCCGGTCCCACTTCGATCCGCTGGCCTTCCTGCCTAAACCTAACGCCCCAGAGAATGGACTCTCCTTGGCCGCCCGCATAGACAGCAATGTTCAGTCGATCCAACGCGCTTGTCGAAGGCGATTCTAGAGTAACCTGTACACTGCAATGCAGAGGCGAATCGGATTGCCGAACCTACGTCCACGACGCAGATGCAAAGACACTGCGTTTCGCTCAAGGATCGAAGATAAGTGGCCGGCACACGTATCATTTTGCGATGACGTTGACCAAGCGTTACCGATGGCCTCGGGACTCACCGAACACCTGATGCCTGCCGGCCCGATGTCAACTTCTTCAGAAAGCCTCGAAAGAAAGGAATGAAAGACAACCGTGTCCTCGACGCAGAGGTTCCACTGACAACTCTGCACGGACAGGACGACAGGAACGTTCGCGCCCGCCGACAATTCGATGATCAACGTACGACAGTGATACGTGAAGTGGGCTGATCCTAAGTATTTCCTATATTCGTAAGGTGATATCGAAATGTGGGATGAGGTCGTATCTACTCGCAGCAACATCTTTATCAAGTCGTGAGGAGAGGGTTCCCTGACGACAACGTACGTGTTCACACTGGGGTCAGCTCTCCGCGAACCCGCTTCCTCATGATTTCCAAACTGACGGGACAAGAAGCACAGAGTTTCGGTCACTCCTACGCTCAACGGCGGCGTTTCGTCGATCCTTCTTCCGCCTCGTCAGCTGCTTCTCTGAAAAAAAAACTGGCATCACCGTTGCTCGCATACCCATTCCAATATTTACAACTAGGCTAGAGACGACTTTGCATGGCCTCGTCTTTTCGCGGACCGGTTATCCTGATACAAACAACTATTTTTACTTGGAAGAGGGCTCGGGAATGGCGGTGTCGCGCCCAAGATAGGTCACTGTGCGCGTCACGATAGCTACTCTTTGGCGAGGAGCACATGGTGCATAAATTTGCCGCGCACGCGTTGTTGATTGCGACGTCGCTGCTGCCGCGCCGCTGCAGTTTTCATGATATGAACACGCCCATATTCAATGTAGTACATCTTTTTCAGAATGATGCGATATTGATTGTCTTTCCGAATAAATATGGATTATTGAAATGCGAAAGCAAAAATGCGGATAACAATTAATAATAGTAAAAATTCATAAAACTTGTTAACCTTGTGCCTAAAAAATATCCCGCATGTATCACTGTGCATTTCAGTTTCGCAATCACTCCTACTCCACTCGTTACAAGCAAAGGCGAGTACCGCAGAAGCGTAAGCGAAGTACGACTCACAACCTGATCCATATTTGTTCAGAACTTTATGAAAAGAATATTTCTAGAGGAGAGGCCATCTCACCATAGGAAAGGTATTCCTGCCGAAAAATTATTGCCGAAACAGGTGCGTGACTGTCCTTTTTTTGTTTCGCAAGCCATTGTCCTCATTTTTTGATTTTCATTTCATGATGGCTGCTTTAGAAAACAGAAGTGGCAGTTTCCGACGGTGAATTGACACAAGATGTCAATGAGGTTCAGTGTGGGTGATGACATGATAATATGATTCGCTTTTGTCATTCCTAATCATTTTATTGAGCTTTACCTTCTCGCACAATTGGGACTACCTGTCTAAATTTCCTGCACCACTCCTAATTTTCTCGAGAAGAAAGTATTTTTAGGGAATGAACAAGAGCTGCAGAGCTATAGCTCGACAAGCTTCCAAGTGCTAACCAATCCACTTTCATCTTCAGTGGGTCCAAACTCTGTTTATTAGTTCTTTATCATTTCCTCAATGTTCTTCATATGCACATACCTATGCCATAAGTTTCACAATTAAGGACTCAGATTTGGCAGTTCCGGCAAAGCAGCGTAAACAGGAGTTCGACGAGGATTGTTGCACACACTTCAAGCAGTCACCGGTAGTCCCTTCATGATGTGACCTCGTTTTGATCTCACTTATACTATTGAAAAAATAACGATTTTCAGGCAAAAGGAGATGAATTCAGCAGTGAGTCCTCGCTTTCGCAGCACGTTGGTTTCCTTTAATGGCCGTAGAGGTGTTGCCCAAGACCGATATTTCCCATTCGCTGCTGTAAATGATGTCAATTTTTGTTTTGCCTAATTTTGGCTTAGTTTTTGTTTAAATCAATCTGCTTCGTCATCCTTATCTGTATAAGTACTCTCGCCGCTTTATTCACGGCCTTGAGCTTTCTAATTTAGAAAGTTTCTAGAAAGCTTCAAAAATTCCATTTTGCCGTGTTAGCTGGCAGGAATAACCTGCTATGCTGTGTCACGTCGATCACCCATGACTTGTCACATATTGAGGTGTTGTGTCTGCACAGCGGTGGATGATAATTATCTCATTTTGTTTGTGCTTTATGTTGTTGTTTGTTCTCTTTCCTTTCCAAGAAGCTGCTCCTGTGGAAATGATCTTGTAGTTTTTTTTTCTATGTATTGCTGAATAGTTTAGAATGAATATTAGTAGAATATGGCTCGGCTTTGAAAAAATCGAGGTTGTCTGCACCTCGCCTATCACGATAGACAGCTGGTACAGTAACAGTGGTAAACCACTCACTATTAGTTAGAGGAAGGCTGTGTTTTTTTTGTGTGCTAACTTAGGTTGGGGGGGGCCAACGCGGCGGCGCGGCAGTCTGCTCATCTGGCATGTTCGGAAATCCGTGGGCCAGGGGAGTGTAGCCAGCCTAGCACCTTTTTTTCACCCGTAACTTCCCCTGCTGATCATTATCACTCAGCAATGCAGTGCTGTTGTGGTGGTTTAGTGCTATTCATAAGTTCGAGATTAGTCTGTAATGTCAGAGTCCGACGATCCCGTCGCAGGTTTCGCTGATTTTTCGCGATTTTGAAACCTGCGATGGATCACAGGAGTACACAAGGCACAACACACACAAGGCGCCGCGAACTGTGCTGGAGCATTTTCAAATTTCTCGACACTTCGCGAGCGCTAACAATGGGGGAGAGGTGATGAGGGCACTTTCGATTCCTTTAATACGTCGCAGGCTCCGCGCGGATCACAAAAATTGCAAGTGCCTCATTTGAACAATTGAAACACTGAATATGAAACAAGTGGAATCATGAGCAGTCTTCATTAAACCATAACCAACAAGCAGAAGTGATGGCGGCATGAGACAACACCTTGCAGTATTGATGGGGCACTTGAGATTTCCGTGACCCGTCGCGTGATTCGCGCAAATCGCGAAAATCAGCGAAACCTGCGACGGATCGCGGACTCTGACATCAGCCTTACGGACTGCTGCATGGGAGAGAGGGGGCATCCAGCCGCCGTGCAGGAGGGCACCTGGGGTGGTACTCAATCCTTCCCCCAGGAGATGGGTCCCCTCTTCTGAATCAATCCTCCCCCAGCTTTGGGGAGAGAAAAAACGATTGCGTCATAGGATCGCCACACCTTTGTGTTTCCATCTGCCATACAGAGCACCACTACCCCCCACTGTTGATGCAGCCTTTCCCCTAGGGAACGCGCTGCTCTTGTCTGGCAGATAGAAACAGGGTTACAAGGGTTTTGTCAATCAAATGGTGAGAGCGTAGCTGGAAAAGCACACACTTTGTGTCTTATTGGGACTTAGCCTTTCGAAGAAGATAAAAAAAGAGGAGATGCAGTGATAGTGTGCACTTGTGAGAGCTCCCAGGCATCACTACAAAACGCTGAACCGCCAAGGCTCGCGGTTGACAGATGCCCTGAGACTGAAACACAGAGGTATGGCGATCGTATGACGCAACCCTTTTTTGTCTCCCTGGAGGATTGAATCACAGGAGGGGGACGCATTCCTTAGCGGAAGATATGAATACGGCTCCTGGTTTCACCACTCCGTGCAACTGGCCCATTCTGACCCACGTCCGCTGCAGTACGCTTGCAGCGATTCACACTGCTATACAGTATAGCCAATAATCACTGCGACCAGGAAAAAAAATGAACTGTCACAAAGCGGTAGTGAGAAAGTGCATCAAACAAACAACAAAAGCGGGACCACAGTATGCCCAGATGAGCTTGCTTCTGCGAAGTAAACTCGTCAGCGCATTAACAAAGGGATAAGGTTCATGCCATTACAAGTTTAAAAAAGTTCGTGTGACATGGAATTAAGAATCACCCATTGTCACCCTCTTATTGTATAATGATAAACGCCATATTATTTTAGACGTTCCCTATAAATCGTCTTCTCTTACGAATCTCTCCTTTTGGTTTATTTTGAGAAGGGTTTTGAAAAAAGGGATTCTGATTTTACCAGTTCGTACCACACACGTGAAGAGCTCCGGAAAAAAAATTAGCTACATCTGAGAGCCTCATTTGATTTAAGTACCTATGCGACGTTTAACACAGATCCACCTTTTTGCGCAGTGCCAATTCTTGCTGCTATTCACTCCGCTCTTGCGAAAAAATGGGAATACACTTTTTTTAGACAATCTCTTTGGGTCCTTTTTGTACAGAAGTGTTGACATTTTTGCACAGAAGTGTTGACAGCTTCAGCGAGCCTACGGGGAAGTCTTGCAGAGCTTTCAGTGAGTTACTAAACATTATCGACTGCGTCACAACGGCTTGAAATGTGATCAATGCATATTTTTACAATCTAAACATGTTCGTTGACTTGTGGTTTATGGAGTACTAATCTTTGCACAAGCTAGGTTTCAGATCAGTTTACCTGGTACGATATCCATGGGTGTTGAGTGTGCATCACGTCCAACTACGCCGACGAACAAGTACGTTTGAATTTTTGAGATGTTTTGATTGGGGCTCATTACTCCTGGGTGACAAGCTTCAAGTGTCCTCATGCCTTGATCCTCTCAATTCATGTTATCATTGTAGCATTTCTAGCGCTACCAAATTCAAATGTGTGGACATGCGTCCAAGCATCTAGTGCAAGTGGGTCGTGGTATTCTCTGATGATTGTGAGAAAGAGCCGTGATCTCCTGGTAGTTTCCTTATGGGAAAAAGCACCTCAAAACACTCCTTTATTTTGGTAAGCACTACATTAATATGCATTCGAACACATATTAACACACTGCTGACAGCCCGTTGTGCGTGGAGTCGGTATCTTTTGTTTATTTTCACCGTAATCGCAATTACTCCCCCAATAATTATTCTTCTAGTAGTTGTTGCTTTGTTTTCCGGATAAGATAATATGGACAGTTCATGGGCAGTTTTGGAACATGAGGAATGGCAACTAAATCAAACAAAACGGGCCTGGCTCGTGTGGGAATCTGACGCGCATGCGCGCCGGGTGGTCAGTGTGTCAGTTAACCCTTTGACGACCGTGTGGCCCGCCGGTGGGCCACACTTTCGCTCGGTGGCGACTCGTTTTTCGTCGTTTATTTTAGCATTTTCTATGTTTCAAAACTACACATATACATTATCGAATCCGCGGAATAATGCGCTAATTATTAATAATAGAATTTCCGGAGAGTTAATAATTACTGATGAATAAATGTGAAAAGAAGTGAAGTGACGCATGCATAACGGCGGTCGTCAAAGGGTTAATCAGGAGCTGGGAGATAGTCACCGTAGAGTAGGATAAGCCAAGGGTCCAAGAGATTCGGCAGCTCATACTGACTACTCTTCTCCAATGCTCTCATGCTTAAGCTGTACCAACTCCATCCTTCCATCTCTCTATCATCATTCCATTATATTGTCCCCCTTCATGAAAATCTTTTCCAAATTATTTCCTTGGGGACATGCAAGTGGGTGCGCCGGTTACGGTGCTTGGGAGTAGGCCCTTGTGGAACAGAAGGGATCCTGGGAAACATATGAGCATGTTGTGTTCTCCCTGGCGTTTCTCCCCTTTCTGGGCTTAGTCCTGGTCTCAGCTACCATCGGCCTTGTTTTGAATGTCCTCTCCAATGATATGAACGCCGGTGGTGGGTTTCAGAGCAGTAACACTGTGGGTGTTCCTAGGCTCTTTGGAATGCCATTTTAAAGGACGATTTTACGATGAAAAAGCAACCCATTCCGAGTTAAAGGCAAGCCCATGGATTAGATCACTCCAACTTTGTCGCAAAAATTGCGCGGTTAGGGCGCTTTTCCTTACGGGCCGGCAACAATCGACCCAATTTCTAACGCTCCCCACCTACCGCGAGTTTGAGATCAGCGTGCATTGATGTAGAGATCAGCGTGCTATCTCAAACGACGTGCTCTCTTGCGTGTTTTGTCTTGTTTGACCGCCCTTTCTCGACATCGTACCACATCCGACCCTTTTGAAGGGTAAGACCTTAGATTCAGCGTTCTTAAGAACTTCTCTTGGTTTCCTCTCCACTTTCAGGGCGTTCCGCAGCCAAGGTAACACTACAGAGCGCTGATAGCACTAGTTCAATCCCGGAGTTTGCCTTTAACCTAGGGATGGTGAGTGGAACACGAAAGAAGGAAGAACCATGAGAAACGTCCCAGAACCCGAGAAATGGGACCCCTTCCTTGCCCGTTGATTTACGCATTGATGCGACTCTTATCTCTGTGCCCTCTTCATCACTGCACTCTCTCCGCTATGTGATCAATCGCCACGCATAGACATACGGCGAGCAATCAGCTGGTTGGTGGGCGTGCACTGACCCACTGCGCCAAGATTGAGCCTTAAAGCAACAGTCCAGGCAGGGTTTCAACCATTTGGTTTTCAAGTGGTGGAAACATGCCTCAGCCTGATTGGAGTTCATGGGAAATGTCACAAACTTCAAAACTTACCTCTGGAAGGCGTTGGAAGCAGTCGAAATCCTTCAAGAGGGGCGGATCCACCGATCCGTGGTGGGGCCGCCTCCAAGCAGCTGTGCAGAGCGCTTGCTCGACTAGCGATCGTTGCGGGACCGCCGCGCTGTATGAGGTCGATTCCATAAGATCGCAATTGAAGCGCTTTACTTTTTTTCGATTTAATTTCGATTAATTTCGATTGCTGGTAAATAGTTATGTATTTGCAAGCATGCATGGCTATTTGCCAGCAGTTGCAATTGGAGCGCATGTACTACGGGCAGGTTCGGACAACTCGTCCAACACACGTCTCTTTAAACGGCGGGGGGAGTCCCTGTCGCCCCTGCCCTACGTTTTTTTCTACTTTTTCTTTCTCCATTGACCAAAATCTCACCTGCAACGCCATTATAGGTGGTCCTTAGCCGCGCATTCGTTCCTGAATTGTTGCTTTAATAAAACGCCAAGGTCAACTTCTTTGGTGTCGTCGCGCCTCAGTCAGCACCCTAGGAGGTCGGCGGGTCCCTCCCTAGGTGGATCACTCCTTCTTCGACTTTCATTCTAATCGTAAATTCGTCCTTTGATCCCAAGAACATTATCAGATTATAGGTTCGCGAGTCCTTAATCTGAAGGTGTGTAGCGGTTTGTAATATAGAACATCATTGGCCATACATATTTATTTTAATGGTAAGAGAGAGAAAGGGGAAGACGGGGTGGAGGTAGTGAGTGACGACTGACGACTCTCGACTCCCCTATCTCGGGACCGACGGGTACTGGCCCTTCTTTCGGTACCATCAGCCGGGGCCACGCCCATCTATCGAAGACGTGGACCCGACAACATATCGAAAACTCATTCCGCGTAGCATGCTTGGCCCTACATCAAGCAACTCTCCTGACCGAAATGGTGATACATATTCACTGTCAAAAAGGAAAAATATAATACTTACTTTCTCGAAGACAAAATCGACCTTACCTCTCCCTCGATGAGGGATCGACTTTGCTTGTCCTCTGGTCGCTGAATTGTCAGAGTCGAAGTTTGATATTTCAGCAACTCAGTGCTGAGCGAAGCATATCCAGTTGGGACCTGCAACTGTGGATCGATTGGAGCTCAGTCACCAGTACGTCTTCGCTGGAATCTGCGCCCATGCAGTGTTCGTCCTCTGAGCGATGTTTATCCATACGGTTTCACTTTGCACACATTTTACTCACCTCAGGAAAAGAAATTTTATAGTCTTGACATTCGCTCTCACTCTGTCGATGATCTGTCGAATACTAACTTTACTACCCATAACGACGCGAAACGAACTTGTTTAAGCGACGGATATTTGAGCAGCAGTTACAGTAGCAGCACTCTGTACTACTTCGCGAAGGGAATGGCCACTCCCATGAGTAGTAGCTCGTCCTCGCACAGCCGCTCACCGGACGTGACCGCTAAGGACAGTAACAACAACGAACTGCAGGACTCGATGAAAATCATGAAATGGTCTATCGATTCTCTTGAAGAGAACTCAGGTTTCAAATGTTCGACGTCCATTGACCGGGCTAGCATCGACTCCGATGACCATATCTGAGTGGCTGATTCAAAGACCTTTCGTATATTTGATGCCTTTTGACGAGCGTAGAGGAAAGTGCAGCGAGAGCGTGAGTTGGTTCTAGTTTTGCCTTTTCCATATTATCAACTTGTAATATGACTGGAACTCGATCGTACCTGAATTTTTAACTCATCGTTTGTAAAGATTTTAATAGAGCTGGTATTTCTAATTCACGGTCAGTAGTCGTTGAAATAAACTGTTTCGTACGTCCGCTTAAACACAAAGCAGCACTGCTCAGTTCAGTGTGGAGCATGAATGTCGTGGTAATGTTTGAATGTTTGATCTCGCGTATGGTTTAGCAGCAGGTTACCAACATGGTGCTCGCAGTTGAAAAGCAAACGTTTGATAAAAAGGTCGTTCGTTGTAAATGAAAAGTGAAGTGGTAGGTGTTGCGGTCGTCAAGATGGGTGTGGGTACTTAGGACAGAACGCGACTTTTTCGCTCTTCGCAACGCGACACCGCGCGGCAGGCTGGCGCACCCGTAGCGAAAACAACTACGGTATGGAAGAACGCGCGATTGGAGCAGCTTTTTTGCATGCGTGAATTTGTAAGTTTCTGATTCCTTTCTTGCCCGCGCTCACACCCATTGTATTGATATCTGCAGTGAATCGCTAATTCTGTCTGTTTCACTCCCCTCCCCTAAGCTTAGTCGTAGGCGCTGTAGGTGAGAAAGATTATAAGTTCAGGAACATAGGGTGTATACCGTAACCTTCTCGACGTTGCCACCAGGGCGCGCAACCTCACGTGTCATCGATTTTCTCGTTTTCTCTGCGCCCTCCCAACGGAGAGAGAATGCGTCGAACAGGCCTGCGCAGAGTACTAAGCGCCGTTTATGTAGAAGGTGGAGGATGCAACGCAAGCGGCTGTCGCCCAACGTCGGATGAGGCGGCACCCCGGGGATCACCTCCCCATGCTCGCGCGCGGAGCGTCGGCTTCGTCGCGCTAGCGGCGAGGCGAACGCAGCGACGTCGCTCCATTTTTGGGTCGCTGCCCTGAACAGCAGGGGCGGCGTCGTTGACCGCTCTCACACTAAGGCTGGCATTGTGCACTGGTAAGCCTGCAAGCGCGCTCTGACGCAAACGTGGGTTACGGAAAACATCCTATGTTCCTTAACTTATAATCTTGTAGCAGAAAGTATGCGTTAAACAGCACGAATGTGAAAAATGATGTCATATTCATGATCAGGGCCCCAAATAAGCCCTTCAGAAGTTTACAGTCGTCTCATCAAACGTCCGTCAACCATTCCTCTTCCAGGTTCTCCAGAAGCTCTACCATCCATCTCTGCAAAAATAACCTACCTCCCTCTTCACTGCTAGTTAGCGGTCCACTTCTGGTTACCATTTCCTCGTTCATTATCAAATCCATGGCTATTAAGCTTCAAATTCTTGTCGCAATCAAAGCCGACACAAATATCGCGCTCCAATCGCGCGTTCTTACATACTGTAGTTGTTTTCGCTACGGGTGCGCCAGCCTGCCGCGCGATGTCGCGTTGCGAAGAGCGAAAAAGTCGCGTTCTGTCCTAAGTACCCACACCCCGTCAAGATAAACCCGCATGCCTGAAGCTAGTAAAATGAGATCTTTTTTGGCAGACGTCTTCCGCGCCAGACCAACTGCACAACTGCTGGCGTCATCAACTTCACTGTTTTGCCATCACGGTTAACCGCCCGTTGCGCAAAGAACAACAAGGCGTGGCTCATTGACAAAGGAGGGCAGAGCTACTACAAGTACGCACCACAGACTAGAGCGAGATTTCTTTCTAAATACGTCGTGTTTAAGTGAGCGCAAAAATTCTTTCAGAGAAACTCCCATGCTTTTAGAACAAATTACTAGAGGAAAGTGCAGCGAGTTCAGCTGATTGACCTCTGGAGCACTCTCCGTTTCTGAAACTAGGAATCCGTGCCCAGGTTAATGCAAAAACTTGCGAGTTGCTTATAGTTGAGAGTAGAAATTCATTTTGCTTCAATTCCGTCCTCTGAGCGAGACAAAGCGCGCAGACTTAACATTGCTTACTACCTCTCCATGTCGGTGACGGCCCATACACCGATGATGGGCTTAAAATATGTAGAAGACACAATAGCTGATCGGGGGGGGGGGTCGTGGCTAAAGGGAGATGGCGGAGGGCCAGCAGCTGAAATAGCTAACGAAGGCAGACAGAGGCACGTTGACGTTTTGGGGGTCATGTCAGTCACTTGCTATAGGTGCGCTTTCGAAGGCACCACGTTCTGTGTCCTTAGGAGCTTAGCCTCCAGTCAGTGCAGACATACACCGCGACGCATAATTATAGTTCCACCTACAATTCAGTACCCAGCTGGATATCATTTTCTCACGATACGGCGCTTATCTCAGTCGATTAGTAATCAGGGTTCCTCCCAGTCATATCCTGCAGCATTCTTGAGTGAAGTCACCCCTACAAATTCCAGCGGAGCTGACACTTTGACAATTTCTGCGTCTCTTTCGTTAGGATTATTCTTGTGATGAAGTCTGAAGCGGTTTTGCTTTTGCTATGAGCTAAGGAACTCGAATGGATAATAGTTCCAAATTTTGATTGGGTAAAGCAAAATGCAGCGGAGAAGCTAAAGCGGATATTTTCGAAAAAATAAGGATAAAAATTTTTGCTCACTCAAACTGGATTTCCGTGTTAATATTCAGATTTGCGTTTATATGTGTCACAATTTATCTGTAGAGCCTTTTCCAAAAACATCCCCAGATTCAAGTTTTTGGGAAATTTCTAGGTGGAACTATAATTATGCGTCACAGTGTATTTCCCCATATTCGGCATTCAGTTTATTGCATGCACCTGCTTTTTAAGGAGATTCCCATTTTTACTTCTTACTAGATTTTTCTTGTGTGGAGTTTCCCGAGTCATTTCTGGCCTTTAGACATTCAAAAGTTGCTTTTGTCTTCTGAGCTGTCTCCACTTTTCTCCATCGCAGTTAAGAAGAGGACTGCCATGTGATAATTAATCGATTCGCAAATGAACTTTGCAAATGCCTTTAGAACTGACTGTTTTTCTTACCTTTTTGAAAAAAGTGAGAAAGGAATGTGGCATACGAAGCGTTCTGCGAGCTTCTGAGCAGACTCATCCCCTAATGTAGTCTACTGCCTTCGACGAATCCCTTACCATCACTACCACTTGTGGCGTTCCCCCTCAGATGAGAGGAATCTAAACATACAGCAGCTCTTTTGCGATGAGAGAAGACGGCTGTGACCTTCACATGAGTGCAGTGAGTTACAAATTGTGACTCACAGTTCTTGTGAAGTACAATAGTAAAGTGGCACCTTAGAATACTGCAGTACAGTGCGTACCAAGTGTGGGCACGCTGGAATCGATTCTCATGGGTTAGCTGAAGTTTTTCTATGTCATGAAACCTTCACCTTTCAACTCCTAGGAGTCGATAACCTACAATGATATTCTCGGCAAAAGATTTCAGTCTAGTTTAGCAAACTATTTTTGATGAAAAATTTTTTCATTGTATCAAAAGTATGTGGACACCCTGAGGTAGATGAAGTTTCTTAGCCAACTATAACCTATTTTTATTTTCCCTTTCATTATTTATTCTGCCATCATTCCTCTTCAGGGGAAATTTTTCTAAAGAACTCCAAGCAAAGACATGGAGTCCTCATGTTGTTGAACCTTCGAATTGCAAAATCCCACGTCAACCTGGCCACGCGTCTTCGTATGTCGGAAAGAATCCTGATGCTAAGCTCACGACAATGACTAAAAGTCGTCCACGATCGTTGTATTTTAAAACAACTCAAGAATAGATCGTGATGTGTGAAAATTTCTTTTATCTGCCACTATTGCGCTCAAATGACCTTCCCGATCTTAAAAATGGCCAATTAGCGTTCCATTGGATCAGATGAGCGCATGACACAATAGAAAATAGAGAAAGCGTATGGACGCTCAGCACAAGTTGACAAGGTTGGAGTTCTTCTCAAAAACTGATCCACAACATGGGGCGTCGAACGCGGACAGACAGAGTCCTTGATCGTGACCCGCAAATGTACTCAAAGAGACGATTCGGTGGAGGCTCATCCGGAGTCTTCCGAAAGAAGGGGAAAAGTGACTTTGGCTCGCCAGCATGTCAGGTGGACAGCAAGGATTATAGTGAGGTGCTCGCTTCCCGGCTACAACCTTCGAGAAGTCACTGTCGCAAAGCCTTGTTTTGCAGTGAGCCCGAGGGGAGGTCCCTGGCACGTATTCCATTTGGGAGAATGTAGAGCGCAGCGATTTCAATTGGTGGGTCGGCTAGCGTGTTCCTCAAACATCATACTTATCGAAAACATAGTATCGTGGTTCGAGGTCTCTACATCATTGAACGGAAGACTAATAGCACAACTGACCACAAACGGTGAAATTGGCTGGTTGGAAACAGATCGACAAGACAGGTATCGAGAGCCTGTTTCAGAGCATGTGACACAGAATGCCTTAGCTTACTATTAGGTCGTTTCATAAGTCTTGCAACAAACTAGCCAAATTTTGAGTTCAATATTTTTATTATCTTTCTGTTCCATTCATCCAGCATGTTACCCTTCATCAATATCTACAACCCATTGCCAACACAATAGTAGCTGTTCGATGCCTCCCTTGTAGGACTCTACTGAATTGTGATCGAAGAAAGGTTAGGTGTCAATTTTGATATCATCGTAGTTAGGATGAGCTTTCTTCTCTAGGAGACGGTTTAGGGAGGGGAGCAGGTGGGCATCCTTTGGCAAGAGGTCAGGGCTATAACGTGGATACAGAAGAACTCTTCGTCATAGAGTCTCAAAATATTCCCGAATTTTCTTAGCAAGAGACGGTTCAACGGTGTCATACAAAAGCAAACTTTGCCTTGTTTTTCTTTCGTAGTGAAAGCGTTGCAATCGAGCTGTGGATGGTTGACTTCCGCGTGGATCTGCGACATTCTATACGCAAGGGTTGCAGGCCCTAACTCCTCTCGTGTCCACCAAAAAATCGAGAAGGCCCCAGCTTGGACCAG